TGTAATGAGTGAATGACTGAACAGGTGTTTGGGGAATGGAGTCCAGGAGATGGCGCCCTCTGGAGGAGAGAGGGAGACACGCAGGGCCCCGACTCATGACAATAATGAGACCGGTTAATTATCTACCATGATAAACACACCATCTCATGTGTTTTGGGTAAAGAAAAAAATGGGCCAAATTTTCGTAACAAATAGATTTTGTTTGTTTGTTTTAAAAATAAGCATCATTATTGCAGTTTAACTTTATACATTTACTTTACATTTAACATTTCGCTATAAATGTTTTCTGGTCACACTTTACAATAAGGTTCCATTAGTTAACTATATTAGTTAACATGACCAATACTTCTAAAGCATTCATTAATCTCAGTGCTACATCTATATAGCTCAGAAATGTATAAAATCAAAAAAGTGTTTTGTTTTCTGCCATTTATATGCCACCACTGCACCTCAACCAAATTATGCAGTGCTTTATTCCAGTTCACACTGACCTGGAAGTGCATCTCATCACTTCCTGTGAGCAACATACAGTACATGGATGTGTGAAGAGGAGGCAGTACAAACGACCTTCACACATGGGACATCTGGGGTTGGGGGGGATGAGGAAATTGTTACCTAGCAACAGATACATACTCCCCTCCCCTTCACTTGACTTGGCATGACTGCTCCATCTGACAGCAGCTGGGTTAGTGACATTGGAGCAGAACTAGTAATGAACAGAAGCTCTGACTATATGATGTAAATATCAAGAATATATTGCTTCATAATGTTATTCCATAACAAAGTTATTATGTTTTAGCGAATTGGTGGCTAATTCAAATGAATTTGTATGATCTCATTCATACGATCTGCTGATGCCCCAGTGAGGGTTATGTTTAGGAGGGGTCCTTAATGCTCACATTGTACAAATTCATATCAAATTGCCACCTTGTAAAAAAGTTGTTTCCCTGTGGGATCAGGTTATTCTTAAGGCCCTGATATACTTTAAGCGAAATCGAAGAACGAAGTGGTGTAAAAACATGAACACACTGGAGAGCTGCTTTATAGTAGAAATTGAAGTTGTATTTCTAATTGAAAGCAACAGTGGCGTTACTCCCCTGCCCCTCTGGAGGTCTGTGCATGCCACTGGAAAGCAACACTGACACTGTTTTTCATGTTTAATACTATAAAGCTGCTTGCTTTATACCAATCAATTGTATAAAATGCTATATCAATAAATGTGACGTGACTTTACTTGACCGGAGGGCTGAACTGCAGAGGCGTTGCAAACATATTGCAATGATAAGATGCTTTCTTAACTACTGTTTTAACACTATCCCAAAATGTAGTTCAGCTTTATGGCTCAAGAAAACAAAATCTTACATTTTATCCCACTATCACCCAATACCACCAACTCAGACTAAAAGAAAACAACTATATGAATATGAAATCAATTACAGATAATAGAGATTCAACCTAATTCAAAGGCATCAATGTGACTGACCATGAATTTGACATTTTTGCATTTCTAAATGTCAAACACCACCACATTCGTGAAGATATGGTAGACTATATCATAATATATGTTTGATTTTCATTATACAATATGATATTAGAGAAACCTTCAATAAATATAACCTTTCAGTGATACATTTCTGTGCATCTGTGCACCAAGCACCTTTTGTTTTGCAACTGATGTCCTTAAAAATGGCCTAAAAATGCTTAAATTCCTGACAAACTGTGTTTTGTAGTCAAATATAAATATAGGGGTACATATTGTCAGGAATATGGACTGTGTGTGTGTTTTGCTCTCCATGTGCTCCCATTGACCTAGTTTTCCCTTGTGTGTTACATGCCCATATTTGGTTATTTTCCTGTTCCGATTGTGTTTGGTTTGATTCTGGTGTGTCTTGATTCTAGTCCTAATCACCCCATGTATCGGTACGGTGCGAGCTCCGCGGGTCTGCCAGTCTCCATCGTCGGCGTGGTTGGAGAATCCCTGGTCTCCGCCTCCAGCCTCAGAGTCCAGGACTCTGCCTCTGCCCGTCGACCCAGCGGCTCCACCATGGCTCCTAGCTCCCTCCTCTCCACTGTGGCCCGGCAGTCCACTGGCTCCGCCTTGGTCTGGCGTCGACCATCCTGTTCCTCCGGCTCCATCAGGCTCCTCCATCCCTTCGGCTCCACCTGGGCCCTCCGGATCCTCCCCGTCGCCCTGGCTCATCGGCTCTCTGCCTCGGGCTCCTCCGCCACCTGACTGTCTGCCGGCCCCCTCCCGGGTGTCCGTCCTCCTCCTGAGCCTCCTCCCAAGTTCCCACCCATCCCTCCTTCTGTTATTTCTTCGGTGCGAGGACGCGCCTTCCGGGAAGGGGGCGATATGTCAGTGTGTTTTGCTCCCCATGTGCTCCCATTGACCTAGTTTTCCCTCGTGTGTTACATGCCCATATTTGGTTATTTTCCTGTTCCGATTGTGTTTGGTTTGATTCTGGTGTGTCTTGATTCTAGTCCTAATCACCCCATGTATTTTAGTTCCAGTCTGTGCGTTCCTCCTTTGTCTGGTCTACTATGTTGTGTTCGGGTGTCTTTTCCAGTTCCCTGTGTGGATATACCCAGTGTCTTTGGATATATTAAAGACTGTTTCGATTATCCTCGTCTCTGTCATTCCTCTCCGACACAGACCGTGACAGAAGACCAGACCAACAAACAGTACTACTGCGTGTTCCCCCTCCGTTTTGTTTATACGTTTTATTCAGTGCTTTTTGTTTCCGTTGTTCCCCATGGATCCCCTCGCCCACCCTGGCTCACTCTTTTGCTCCCCATGTGCTCCCATTGACCTAGTTTTCCCTCGTGTGTTACATGCCCATATTTGGTTATTTTCCTGTTCTGATTGTGTTTGATTTGATTCTGGTGTGTCTTGTTTCTAGTCCTAATCACCCCATGTATTTTAGTTCCAGTCTGTGCATTCCTCCTTTGTCTGGTCTACTATGTTGTGTTCGTGTGTCTTCTCCAGGCCTCTGTGTGGATATACCCGGTGTCTTTGAATATCGTAAAGACTGTTTCGATTATCCTCATCTCTGTCGTTCCTCTCTCTGACACAGACCGTGACACATATAGGGTAGGTAAGCTGTTTTTCCCTTAATCTAGCAAACTAGGCATTTTGACCACATATTTAGAAAGAGCCTGTCATACGCAGCTGCCTGTGATTGAGAGTTGCACATGAGCAAAGTCATTTTAATGCTAAAGTACTTTTATTTTGCATGGCAGATAAAATGAATTTTAAATCAAGGATAATTTATCCAATTGTATATTATACATGTTAGTGAATTGCTCATCTTTTTGGCTAAAGATCAGACATGAATTATTAAACTAAGACACTGGATATGACCAGACCAAATAAATATTTGGACAAAGTAACACTTCTGGTTTGCTGAACAGTAGGACCAAGTAACTTAGGGTTATAAAAAGAAAAAACTGTCCAAACTAAAGATTGATTTGACCCTTGTGAATACACCTGTGAACACTGTGAATGTGTAAAGCATTTATGTAGCAGGTAAAGCTGTCCAAACAGGCCAAATTCAGCAGAAAATAAGAGTGCGGTACATGAATCCAGGGCACTCTTATAAATATGTAGCCAGCACAGTTCAGCATATTTCTATTCCTGGTAACTAGTTTAAGGTTATATGACAGAGAAATGAAATGGGCCCCAGCATTCAGCTGTCTACAGGAAATACTAGGTCAAGAGAAATCTGCACACACACAGTCCTCACATGCTATCAAACACTATGGTTGGGCGCTATCAAATATTTACATTACCTTCTTGATAATTATTGTGGTAACATCAAACAAGCAGCATGTATAAGCAACTTTAAGTAATCAATTTCGTGATTACTTTGTCTCATTAGTTTTGTGATAATTCCTTGTCTCGGTAGGCCAGATATTAATAGCGACTTTAATTTAGCCTTCAGTAGCAAAAATGGCATTAAAAGGAATGGTTCACTCAAAAATGAAAATTTGCTGAAAGTATAGTAACCCTCAAGCCATTCAAGATGTAATGACGGCACCCATTCACTGCAGAGGATCCATTGGTGAGCAAGTGATGTAAAGCTCAATTTCTCCAAATATATTCCCATGAAGAAACAAATGTATGACTAAAATGAGTAAAGATACCTGAATAGTTCCTGACCCCAAAACACAGTTGCATTACACACATGCATTAGTGAGGTACCTACTCAACAACAACATCTCTCATCCTCGCTTATTGCAGCTGACCACAGAATAAAATGATTAATGGACTTTGTGTGATGCCTATATGATCATTCAAGACGAGGAGGCTGAGGGCCTTGGCAACTGAAGACTCCATTCAACCCACCAGCAATATAAATAAAACAGTGTAATTGGCAGATTATACAACATCAGTCCTTCAATCAGACACCAGTGTGCTACAAGCACCAGAGATTTTTTCATCTATCCAAAATTGACTTCAGAAACATTTTCAGTTACAGTAGCAATAATATAATATAATATAATATAATATAATAGCTGCTTGACTCTTTTCTGCAAGCTGCACAATTTGAGGTACAATTCATGTCTGTAGCACAAATGGTGCAGGATATAGTATTGGGATATTTAGTGGCATCTGAAGATAATGTGTATAATCCATGTAACCCAATAAATATGACTAACAATAGTTATTATGCAAAACAATATAGAAAGTGTGCGTGCACCACTAAATGTAAATGATACACTAAGTGGATTTGCCCTTGTTAAATGCTATGCCATCTCTGATTACTGGCTCTGTTTCACATGAGTCGTTGACTATAATGGAATATGAGTCAACAGAGAAAGACTTTCAGCTGAGTCGTGTTTTCATTTCAAGGTGCCTAACAGCATTTTTCAAGCCAAGTGAAGAATGGCACCGAGCATTTGCACACACTTAATTATCTGACAGAGAAAATGCTTTTATATTAACAGTATCAACTACTATTAGCAAAGATAGTGAGCACAGCATAACCTTGAGACCTTACTTTCTCGATCTTGTCCAGCCACTCCTTGTTCTGAGCAAGTTCTGCCATGAAGGTCTGATGTTTCAGCCACTTCTTATGAAGCTTCTGAGTCTCGTCGCGGGAGGTGTCGCGAGCCATTAGCATCTTTTCTGCCACCCAATCACCAATCTGTGAAACACACATCAACACAGGCGTTAGGAATCACACTCAAACTCGTGTCTCAAAAAAAAAAGTATGATATGTAATTTTCACACCTATTCATTTATTTTTAAAAATTTACTCATTGATTTCAGACATAAGCATACATAACTTGTATATAAACCTCTTCTATGATAAATATGTTTTACATTTAATTTTAATATTTTATCAATATATTCATATAAAAGTCATTATGGAATAACAACATGCATACGCCATTTTTTCTTGTATCAAGCATATCATAAAACAGAAAATTATATGAATGACTCTCTTTCAAAGTCAACTGTTTAAACTCAAGGTGTACCAAAACATTTAAATTAAATTTAATAAAATAAATTACATTAAAAATAAATACAGTTCTACTTAATCCAGAACTTCACATATTTTTAAAAGATTTAGATCATATAAACAATTAACCATAACATTTACGGCACACTGCATATAGAATGCATATAGAAAACAACAAAACATTTACCACAGTAAAACACTATTAAAGTAATTTTACTGTAGCAAGTAACTGTCCCTAAAGATGATCAAAAATGACTCTCAGAAAGTTTCCCACTCACAACAAGTGATCCCAAAGAAAATACCACTTTATCATTCCTCTTCAAACAACAGTACTGTATATCATATCTTTTATTATATTTTATAGTAGTAGTCAAGTAAATGTCAAGCTGTGACAGCAGTGACACACATTACTTCATCTAAAAACATCTAAACAACATCTTTCTCATTCTTTTGGAATTATTATACATCTTTATTTGTGATAAATATATAGTCAAACATTTGTACTTAAAAAAATGTATTTGCCACTGCAGGACTATTTAGGTGAACTGCAAAAAAACTTAAAGTTGATTAAAATAGTGAAAAATGATCAACAGTACCTAAATATACACTTCACATACAATAACATCAAGAAATCCATAAACATATTTCATGATGCAATATATAAAAATGGCAATATAATAATTGGAGACTAATTATTTGTAAACTAATGGTATATATATATATATATATATATATATATATATTATGTCATATTATAATTACCACCTGAATCAGGTTGTGAAAAATCTGTCAGTCAAGATCCCAAATCCACATGTTCATCTGCAGCCCAGGTGAGCAGCAAAACCCAACGCTGGCCAGAACACACACGCGAGCACAGTCCAAAAACAGTGCTGGATGAAATATTCAAGACATGTGCAGAGAACTCAATGAGCACTATTCTTGGACCAAACTAAATCCTTAAATGACTGTATAAAATCCAGTGAACACAAGAAGCAGTTTGCATCTTAGTAGAAAACAAAGAAAATCCCAAAAAAAGGTACAAAAGATTAGCAGTCTGGAGCCCGAGTGGAGGCCCTACTGAGTTACAGCGAGGAGAGAAATGAGCCCAGTAGCGGTGATTATTGATGTTACAAACACTAGCCACGGTCAGAGAGAGAGTGGGCATTAGAGAGTGTCAAGAGGGAGGATGTGGGGACCGTTTTCCCTCCCCTCCTCAGAGCGATCCAGACACACTCCTCACCCCGTTTGTGCAGCATCTTGCATCTCAAACAAATCCATATTGTCTTCTTTCAGTCCGTGCCGCCTCTTTTCTTCTCCTCCTCCTGTTTTGTAATATAAGCTTGACTCAATACTGCGGTGCCTCTCCTGCCTGAGCTGAAAGACCCAGTTTCTCCCGCTGCAGCATCCACGATGAGAGAAAAGATACGAGGGAGAGAGACGAGGAGGGAGGGGGAGAGAACCATATCGAGGGAGAAAGAGAGAGAGGGAGGGGGGAGTCTACGTAGTTGCAGGCGTCACAAGGATAACACTAAGGCTCTTTAAGCGGGCAGGGAAGCGAATACGAATGAGGTGGAGGGAGGCTACAGAGGAGCAGAGGTTCAAAAAATGAGGGAACGAGCAGCCAATGATCAAAATCTGTCAGATTAAAATATGCACACTTAAAAATAAAGGATCCAAAAGGGGTTTTCACAGCAATGAGTGAAGAGTGTGCTTTAAGAGTGTGCTGAGCTGGTAGATGACACTTTTAAAATCACATAAACTTTAGGACAAATTGTGCTTTTTAACCTCTCTCTAGTGCTTACTAAACACTACAGTGACCTCTGCCCTCATGAGGCACCTGTCGCTCTCACCCATAAAGCCATTTAGGTTAATCATGGTTCTGTCAGGACCACTATCGTCAAAGATGATTGACAATTAGCATACAGTTTGGATTGGCGGTATGGTTCTGTTCTGGGCAAGAACTCCCTGCGCATCCATGCAGCCTAGCATGGATGAGAGCAGGGAGAGCAGCAATATAACAGAACAGAACCAACATAAATTTATTGCAGATATTGTTAAAGTTCAATAATGTTATGTACACATTTTAGAATTGGTCTGATTCAAAGGAGAATCAGAAGGCTGAATCCCGACTGACAGAGAAGGAGTTGGGGATGGAGAAGGGTAATTAGCTATTGAGCAGTGTGAAAACTGCTGATAATACTGAGGGACCTTATATATGAATGCTTAGATAGGTGTTGTATTCCCATAGGTTGATGGGAATCAGCTGAGAGTCAGCTGATGCGAGCTTGACTAACGTGAGACTTACGCTAGATTTATTCCTCAAAATTACCCTGGGGTGGAATGGAGCAATAGATCCAAGGAAGAGTGAATGACCATCCAGGGACATGGGAATTAATTATCCAGTAAACTGATGGATAACTACACCACCACCAACACCAGAGAGACATTAAGAATATCTCTTTGGATTTGAGACTTTAGTGTTTGCAACTTTACAGATCTTCTTTATGCACCAAGAGCTTGTAACACTCCAAAGAGAAAGGAAAAATTGAAATCGCATCATATGACCCCTTTAAAACTAACTAAGACAATAATGTGATACTTCAGATCAGGAAACATCTGAAAGGAACAACAACTGAAAGCAAATGAGAAAAAGTGCCACATAGGGTGCGTATATGATTGCATTCAGTCATACTACTGACTACTTCTGCTGTAGGCACTATGCACTAGGGCTGCATGCTTTAGGGAAAAATAATCTATTTGTGATTTAAAAAGGAGATTTATAACGAGTGGTTCCCTGCATTATTACAGCAAAGCGCATGATTACAGAACTAAGCCGCTGCAATGGAGCAGCTCCAATGCTATTAAATTAAAGATGATGTACCACAGAGCAAAACAATGAACAGTGAAAGTAACAAAAACTTGTAAAATACATTTTAATGGGCATAATTAAGTGTGAAAATAACCGAAGGATATACAGTCAAACCAAAAATTATTCAGAGACCAGATATAATTTTTAAATATTTTTTTACTAGTGGGTGCAGGGCACTATAGTTCATTTATGTAAGTGAGGATAGCAAAATAAAGTCAACTGTGACAAATCATACCCAAAAATTATTCATACAGTGGACTACCAGTAAAATTGATACAAATTTGGGACCAAAAATTATTCAGACCGTTTCTCTCCACGAGTGTTGTGCTAAAGCAGAGCTGACAGCATGTAGAAAGCTTTGAGACTTTCCACACAGTCCGTCCACAGAGACACTTACATGCAAATGACTCGTGTCTGAGTCTGCTGAAATATTAATGATGCTATGAAACGGCTCCTGTCTGTGCGTAGCATCACTGATGAGCACATGAGCCACCTGACCATAAAACCTCTCTTTCATTGTTTGGTTCATCTATGAATCCTTAACATGTTACTAAGCTAATGAGATGATGCTCTAATTAACAAAAGCACACAAATAGTGCATTTTAATTAAACTGAACTGCCTTTATTGGTGCTATTTGTATTGAATGTAGCGTGGCCATTAGTCCTGTTTTGAAATACTCGGTCTGCCGGCACAGGCTTGAGCCCAACGCTCATTTATCCTCCTTTTTAGGTAAATATATTATTCTTAAGACAGTAGTATATAACAAATAAATAAAAATGGTAATATTATGTTTAAGTTAAGATTAAGTGACATACATTTTATACAAAATATTGTCAATATGGCCTGTTTTGCTCTATTTTGTCAATCGTTGCGTCGCCGTTCAACACAGTGATGTTTCATTCCTGAATCATTGTTTTTGAACAAATTGAGAAAGAAAGAATACAGTGAGTAAATACACGAATAAATGAATGAATGCATTAAATAATGAATAAATTTAATTAATATTTTGAATAAATAAATACAAAATAAATAAATAAATGAATACTTTGAATACAGTGAATATTGAATGAATAAACAAACAAATAAATAATATGAATAAATGAAATTCATATATTGAATAAATACAATAAATGAATAAACAAACAAATAAATAAATGAACTGAATAAATACGTGAGTGAATCAATGATTCAATAAGCCTAAATTCAAAACTGCAGACTAGTATACTACTCTTACTATTTTTAACATACCTTTTTATGGCATAAATAGTAAGAGTAATATTGTAGTATCCGATTCTGAAATCAGCAAGTCACTTTGCTTCATTCCTGAGTGAATCAGCCGATTGAATGAATCGAATTGAATGAGTGAAAAAAACTGAAGTTCAGGTTTGCATGAAGCTGGGTGACAGCATGCCCAGGAGACTACAGGCTGTCATTAAGGCTAAGGGCTGCCCGACTAAGTATTGATAGTTGTGTAAATACTGCGAGACGTATGAGGTCGGCTTTGCGCATGCGCCGCTCAGAAGTGACACACGCGGAAGCGCAGGGGAGAGATCAAAACAAAACAACGATCAATAATTAGAAGTACAAAACGAGGATTTGTAAAGAAGAATGTCGGAGGATTTCGATATAAGCCAAGAGGAGACTGGTTTTCCTTTGCTCCTGTTAACAAACGGTTTTCACGAGACTCACCGTCGCATGCGCAACGCCAAACTCATACGTCATCAGCCCGGAGCTGCTTCCGTGTACAACTGTTGGCGCAAGCTACATTAAAGTGATGATTACGTTTTGAATATGGATATTTTTTTTACAAAACCGCATCGATTTGCTACAGGAGGCCTTTGTTCACCCCCCGGAGCCGTGTGAGACACTTTTTTTTATGATAGGTGATTTTTATTTAAGTTCTTTTGGACTGAAGCAATGCAACACCCGCTGAGAGTATTAAACAGCTTGAAAGATCAAAGACAATTTTTAATAGAACTCCGACTGGATTCGTCTGAAAGAAGAAAGTCAAATACACCTAGGATGACTTGAGGGTGAGTAATTTATGGG